TCTTCATAAGATTGTTTCTGTGAGATCATGCTTTTGTATGTGCAAGTATTAGTGTTAATTAGATCTAGGTGCAGGCGAGATTGAAAGTTAGGAAAGTTGCGTGAATCTGCTTTTGTGCTTGGATGTATAAGTGGACTTTATGGTACTCTGTAACTTGTAGTAAAGTTAATCTTTTGCTTTTTATCTGTTGTTGCATTGTAACCAGACTCCGCAATGATGAGTAACACCAGACAGAGTTTTAACGTTTATGTACTTCAGCTACTGTTTGGAAATCTCACTGTGACTGTCTGTTTTTTCTGTTCAGTAGTTCTTGGGAACCACAATCAAAGCACCCACAAAAGTGTGTGCAAAGTAAGTGATGGTTTTGCTGCCTGTAAGTGAAGTGGAAAACTGCTACATAGCAATGACTATAGTAAAACGTGTCAGTATAATGCGTAGTCTTGGAGAACTATATGCTGCAGACTGGTACACATAAGAATACTGTGAGTTATCTACTACCCTTAATGCTTTGTATGTAATTGACATAAGTGATATGTTTTTTCCTCTAGTTGGAGATCTTTTTTTTTTTCTTCATTAAATTGTCAAATATTTATGTACTGTGAGATGTTACAGCTACAGTTCTGAGAAGCATCTAGGAATTAGTTTTAAAAGTTGCTACAGTTTCAGATTTATCTTAAAAATCGTAACAGTGGCAAATCTGATACAGGAACATGGTCCATATCTTGTGCTGTGCTATCAAAACTTTTCATAGCAGTGTAATGAATGACATGAAGATGTGACTATCTGTGTGGTGATAGTTTTGGATGTAATTTATGTTATAAATGTATCTCGTATGTTAGGGCTTGAATTCATAGCTATAATTTTTGGAACTGCCTCCTATGTTAGATAGGTGAACTGTAGATGAAGAAGAACCTGATATTCCCTAGGTCTACTTAAAGTAACTTTAAAAAAAGCCAAGCAACCAAATTGCTCTTCTGAGGCTTTCATAAATATTCTGGAATTAGGTTTCTGTTTCAAAATGTGACTTCTTAAGGCAGATGTGTGCCAGGTTGCTTTAGTGTCGATAAGTTGTAGATAATAGTAGTACTTCTTAAAAAAATGTTTTGTGTAGAGAACTCTCATATCACTAATTGAAATGCTTTAGTTTTGTTTGGGGGAAGGGGGGGGAGGGGAGTGTAACCTTAGGCCTGAAGCTTGTTTGGAAAAATATTTTAGCTGTTGCCTTTTCTCACAAACCAAAGTAAATCAGTGTCATTATGCAATATGAAATTATTGTGGTACTGTGCTTCTGTATAACCTGCACTTATAGCAGTTATGGAAACGAATGGTGCTGTAGGACACAAGTACATTATCTCTTCCTGTTCTTAGCCACAGCTTTTGTCTCTTACTTATAGAATCATAGAATAGTGACGGTTGGGAAGGACCTTAGAGTAATCTAGTTCCAACCCCCTGCCATGGGGCAGGGTCACCTCACACTAAACTATCTCACCCAAGGCTTCGTCCAGCCTGGTCTTGAACACCGCCAGGGATGGAGCGTTCACAACTTCTCTGGGCAACCCATTCCAGTGCCTCACCACTCTAACAGGAAAGAATTTCCTCCTTATATCCAATCTAAACTTCCCCTATTTAAGTTTTAACCCATTACCCCTTGTCCTGTCACTACAGTCCCTAATGAAGAGTCCCTCCCCAGCATCTGTATAGGCCCCCTTCAGATAGTGGAAGGCTCCCATGATGTCTCCATGCAGCCTTCTCTTCTCCAGGCTTAACAGCCCCAACTTTCTCAGCCTATCTTCATACAGGAGGTGCTCCAGTCCCCAATCATCCTTGTGGCCCTACTTGCTTTAAAAAAAACAAAAAAAAAAAAACAAAAAAAACCACAAAAACACCAAACAACCCATGCAGTGAAATACTAGGGTTTTCTAGGGTTAATTTCCTAATTGTAGTGGGGACCACAGAAGCAATATTCAAATGCACAGCTGAGAAGCTAGTAATTTATCCAGTTTGTTAATATTTGGAATGGGGATGAAGCAGGAATAGTAGAAAGAAATGCTTGGAAGTGAAGAAGAAAGGAAGTGTCTTTGTTTAGAAAATTGCTCAGGGCAGACTATTTCCTCTAGAGCTACCCTGGCTCTTTGGCAGAGAATTTTTCCTGTCTACAGCATTAAAATCCTTTGTCCATCTTGTCATTATTCATTATTATTTTTTGCCTGTTTTGGGGACTACTGTGCAGTAGATGATCACTGCTTAGTACAGTGAGCTCTCTTGCCTTAAGCACGCATAGGCAAGTATAGAGGATTTGGGCAAACTGCATTGCTTGGAATGCTGCCTGTTTTGGGTGGTTGAGAAATGCTTAACATGTACCAAAATGGGCATGTATTATTATCCTTCTACAGTCAGCATTTAAGTGGCATGGTTTTTCAACTCGGCATACCCTGCAAAACTGGGATGCTTTGCTTTGCTTTGGAAAAGAAGATTAATGCTGGTTAGGAGGATGATATTAATTTGAGATGAGAAGAATAATTTTAGCTGCTAGGTGAAAAAGTGAAGATGACATAATCCTTGGGTAAAAGAACTAAATGGGACTACTGCAAGGACTATTTTTGATAGCTGTAAGCACTATAAAAAAGCCAAATTCTGTTTTCAGTTCTGCATATGAGGCTTCCACTAATTTGTCAAAAAGAAGAACTTGCTCTGAATGCTTAAAGCTTGTGTAAACTTACTCCTACTGCTGCATATTTACTGATTTCTGGAGAGAGAACTGGTGCAGGTGTCCTTGAAAATGTAAAAGAATTATTTTGTTATTTAAAGAAATGTTCAAGTTGGTTTTTTTTTTTTGTTGTATTAACTTTCAGAAATATTTGTGTTAGAAGTGCTTAAAGAAAACATAATTTGAAGGTTGAAGTAACTTGAGGAATCCGTGGGCTTTTCTGTTTTTCTGGGTTTTTTCCTTGTTTTGAAGCAAAGCAGCTCTAAAGCCTTAATTCCAAATAAACTGTGTGAGTGAACCAAAAAAGGGCTACATTTAATTATGTTGGAAGCTGACATTCAAGGGATGCTTTTTTTTTGTTGTTTTTTTTTTGTTTGTTTGAAAACTACCTATGTCAGTGCAGATAAATAAGAAGTTTTATGTTTCAGTTCCTGTAAACATCTGAGTTTCATGGAAATTTCTTTTTGTCTGTTTCTGCAAAGAATTGTTAATTCAAGTGAATGCAGAAGCAAGAGCAAGGCTGGAATGAATGTGCTCTGAAAGATCAGTATTCGTTATGGGGATATTTAGTTTTTTTTTCCTAATGCAGCAATTTGTGTAGTCAATGCATAATTAATGCAAAAGCAATGAATTTCTATTAAAAGTACTGAATTTTCATAGGAAGGTATTATATATGGGGATATCCCCACCCCCCCCCTAGTTTTAAGCTTGGAGGTATAAACTATCAGTGGACTGCAGATGACTTCTTAATGCAAGAAACATATAGATAAGAATTTAAAATTCAAGGGGGAAAAAACAGGTGAGGCAGGCTGGTTCTTTAAGCCCTTCCGTGGCAGAACAAAATTAAGTTACTAATTCTGTTGAGGGAAGAATCTGGTATTAAGTTTGCTGGATTATTCAACATCTGTATAGTGCATCTCTCATCAATTAACTGGATGTTATGCGGGTTCATTAGCCTAAGAGAAGAATACGATTGAAGTTTATAAAGTTCAGCTACTGTGTTGAAGCAGACTTGTTTCTATTGTATATATACTTACGTTTTGTCTCGTAGAGGCTGTGAAGATGTATTTGAATTTTTTTGCATGCAACCTAATAATCTGTTTAGGCTTTCAACTGTCTCTAGTTGGAATGCATGTATTTTTTCTTTTTTTTTAAGAGTATCTACTTCAGTTTTGATCAACAATTTCTCAGTAAATGGAAAAAATACAGAATGGGTGAGAATTGTACTGGTTTATTAATTCCTAGTGTATACTGAGAGAGCAAATTGTACATTATATTCCTTGGTTTGCATACATCTTTGGAATGATTTCTTTTCTTTAAAAAACTAAGGTGGCTGTCAAGAGGTGTTTAGCTCTTTGGAAAATTATATTCCAGAAATTCTGGGCATATTATAGTGATGAAATACTGGCTACTTTGTGAGATTCATCTAGACTTGTTTTTTTTTTTTTCCTGCCCTGTCTCCTAGATGTTGGACAATTTCCTGAATTCTGTATCAGAAGAAAGCAGGATAACCACATTTGAAATACAGAATCTCTGCAACTAATAAATCAATCGAGTATAGAGAATTGAAAAAATCTGTGTTGCTGCTACTTCTGCTTTTATTTAATATTCATTATGGAAATACTGAACTAATTTAAGTGTGAGAGGGAAAATGAACAAGCTTTTGTTATCTAATAGTTGGTGTGAATCCAGGAAGTCTTGATACAGAGATCCTGGAAACTTATATTATCCATAATTTCCCATTGACTCCTCCATATTTTGGCTATCGATCTTTTTATCTCTGCAGCAGATTTTTTTTCAACATGCTTTGCATTATTCAGTTCTTCCATCTGTAAGTAGTGCTTAAAAGGAGAGAACTCCTTTAAAACTTGAAAAATTTGGTAATTTTTATTATGATGCTTATTTAGTTTAATAAACTAAATTTTTATACTAGCTCTGATATTTAACACTAGGGAAATAACTACTTCATTATTCTATGTTCTGATTGATGAAAAATCCTTTAAATAACTAAGTTAAGCAATTATAGGTAATTTTCATATTACATGGAGATAAACAAGGTGGGCCTTGTAACCTTTTTGTGTTCCTTTGTGTTGTTTATAAATTATTTTTTGTGGTGATTACTCAGATCTCCATGGTTAAATATGTTGGGTGCTCTAACTAGAGGCAGGATGTTAACTTGTCCGAGTGTGGTCTTAGTGACAATGTTGGTTATGGTGTTTGGTGTTTTCTTATGTTTGTTTGTTTTCCCTCTATGTCTCATACAACAATTATTCCTTAATGGTACCAATTCCAGCTTTGGTCGGCCAGGAGTTGAATGCTACTGCCAACATGACAGTGGAGCTGCAGTAATTCAGCTTCAGTTCCTGATTAATGAGGTTAGTAAAATGATGTACATATTCCATAATTCAGAGGGGACTGTTTTTTCTTCAATTTCTCAGCAAGTAAGCATCAAAATCAGCTAACACAAGTGCCTCTAAACATGAATGGCAAACAGTAATAGCAATTACAAATTCTTTTTATACTTTTAGTAAATGCTGGACTAACTGCTGAAAATCTTTGTCTCTAGAGTACTCTTGCTAGAAGCAACAACTTTCTTCCTAAGAACACTTATTCATATAATGAACATCGCAAGTTAGCTCTTGTAGTAAATAATGTTTACAATAGTACTAATAGTTTCAGTAAGTGGTTCATTTTATTTCAGTAGTTATTGTTTTAAACATGAACTGAGCAATGATCCCTAATCTGATCCCTCAGTAATTTCACATATATTTTCTTTCTCGCAGTGTAGCAGCCAAGATGTGACAGCAGAGCTTTTCTTGAGCTAGCTGAGGCCAGATTTGTAGAGGGGTTTCTAGCTCAGAGGAATGGTGAAGTCAAACTTCACTAGCTTTGTTAGCATATAGCTATTAGCAGCTGAATTCATTGTGTAGTTTTTTTGCAGAGATTGGACATGAGGGAACTGATGTACATCATGCATGGGAAAGCTGCTTCTTCCCCATCACCCCTCAGTATAGCACTGAACCAGATGTGGGTCAGCTGAATGACATGTGATCACATCAATTATCTCATTGCTAGTACTTAAACCTTATATGTGCTATACTGTTGATGTGCATGTTTATAAATAGTTTTTTTTTCATCCTGGTAGCAAATATGCAATGTACTTCCACTATGAAGATGATATACTGTTAGTAGGTTTATGAAAATAAGTTGACTAAAACTTTTTCTTTCCTATAGGGAGCTCTTGTGAGTGCCTTGGCTGATGATACCTTACACCTGTGGAACTTACGTCAGAAGAGACCTGCTATACTTCATTCACTCAAATTTAACCGAGAACGGTAAGGATTTGGTTATTATTCCTTTGCCCCTTAACATCATTCTATGTGCTATTGTAAGTAATGCAGTCCAGTTTATAACTTGTTACACTGTTGAAACTGGATTTACATCCCATTTGAATTGCAGGCTGTTAGGACCCAGTGAATAGACACGCTAGTAACCTAAAATGAAATGACTTTCTATCATTTTGTATATTGCATTGTTGAACATGAATTTTCTCATCTTTAAAAAGTGGAGGGATAGAAAACCTTCAGTGTATGTCTCCAAAGGAATTCTGTAACAAGACAAAGTGTGTGCATATATGTGTATGTCTGTGCACCAACAACACAAAACTAGTTCAATTTTTTAGTTAGAAGTTTTTCTCCCCCTTGATGAAAAACAGGAATTCTGCAGTGTTAGAGCCCCTGTGTGTATCAGAGAAGCTGAAAACAACATGCATTTTGACTAGCAATTTAGAGACTAACAGTGTAGTAAGCAGGCTAGGGTGATACTTTAAATTTCAAAAAGTCAGAAGATTTAACTTCTGGGAAAAAAAAAGTAAAAATGTGGTTTTATTTTGTGAGTTTTGGTTTTTTTTTGTTGTTTATTTTTAATAACAAGTAGTCTTTCCTTTTGGGAAAGTAGTTCTTTTGTGGTATGGGTGAAATCTCAGCTGGAATGCTATGTCTGCTTTTGAGCAGAGGTGGACTGCTTGGTGAGCTCAAAGGATACTGGCAAGAATACAGAATCGTCTGAGTTGTGCCTCTGTTGAACAGGGCAGGAAGTAATCAGCTTTAAGTAATGGGTAACAGCAGAAAGAGGAAGTTAAATATTTATGTAGAACTTTCTAATGTCTAAAGTTGAAGCAAAGTGCTAAACAGACTGATGGGTTATAGAGTAACCTCATGGTTTTAAAGAGCAAGTTATACGTAAATTTGTTAGGAATAACTTAAATGCAGGTTACTGGAGGTTTTGGGGCTAGAGGACTAAGTCCCTTTTGAGGTTGTTTCTATGATCACTGTGCATAAACTTTTTACCAGGACCTGCAGTGATACGATAGGACAAGGGATAATTAATTATTTTAAGCTGAAATAGAGTGGATTTGGATTAGATATAAGGAAGAAATTCTTCACTATGAGGGTTATGAAGCACTAGAAAAGGTTGGCCAGAGAAGTTGTGGCTGCCCCATCCTTGACAGTGTTCAAGGCCAGGTTGGACAGGCCTTTGAGCAACTTAGTCTAGTGGAAGGTGTCCCTGCCTATGGCAGGGGTGTTGGAACCAGATGGTCTTCAAAGGCTTCTTAAGAACCAAACCATTTTGTGATTCTGAACTCTTCTGCACCAAATATAAGGCTTTGACAGAGCAAAATTCTCTGCCCCAAGGGAGTGACTATGTTTCTTTACACAGCATAAAGGTCAAATGCAATTTACAACCTCTAGTTTAACTAGTATTCTCCAGCTATATGAGATGCAGTGGTGTATCCAAACTCAATTTTTTTCCCTTCTTATGCCCACTTAAGACTTTCATCTTCAGTACCTACTTAAATGTCAATATAAAATTCAGATTTGCAGCCTCAAACCACAGTTGGACCTCGGCTGCTGACTAGGTCACTTGTGTCACTTCAGTGGTTGAATTTGTTATTAATTTTGGAAAGAGGAAAACCTGTGAGAGCACCATAATTGCCAAGAGTGGTGAAGGTATAGTTGGAGACATGGGCTTCTTCTAGCAATTTTAATATTAAATTGTCTATTGTAATAGCATATAAAAGTAGCCAGAATACTTAAAATCCCAGAACCATACATTGTCCTAGCCACTTAAGTCATGCTGGATGACTGTTAACTGTTTTCAAACATTGTTTTCTTGACTAGTTTATAAAGTAAAGCACAATTTCATTACGAAGGAATTATTTTGATTCTGAAATTCAGAGAATTGCAAAACTTCACAATAGAATAATTCTAAATAGGTGCCTTTTATAACACTAGGCATTCTTAGTAATTATACCTAATAGGTCTGATATATCATGTGAATTCGAAGTAAATAGGCATTGCTTAGGTCATACGCATTATATTACCTACTAAGTTTATTAAATGTTCATGAATCATACTGGGTCTTCTCAGTTTACACACGCCAAGCTGTTAGATACCTAATTAACAAAATTTTTAAAATAATTTATGTTGTGGGATGAAGGTTTACTCGTAAGGATAAATAACTTCTCAAAAAGGAGTTATTTACAATACTAAACACTACAACAGAGCAATATCTTCTCTAATGATACTTTAATTTGACAGCTTGGGTAGGGGACTTCAGTATCTTGGCAATGTTTGGGTGAAAGAATAAATAGTGAACACATTGGAAAAAGTGTCCTTGGAGGCGAAACTAAGCCAAATCTGACTCCATGACTGAAACCACTATTCCAGTTATATTGTTTTTTGCTCTAGGACTCTGTAGATCCTAAGGTTTAAAATTACATACCTGGACTCATGGTGACTGCAGAAAAGCAGTATTTGTGTCTTGTTTAATAGCAGTTGAGCTCAACATGTCACAAGCCAGTTCTTCGATTTTGTTTCTAAGAAGTCAGAGTTTAATGTGTGAGGATTAAATGTGAACTAGAAGGTTGGCTGTAGCATTGTAACCTAACTGTAGCAGGTAGCTACCCAGATTAAATGATATTGCAGTCTTGAAAACTATTCTTGAACTATTTAAAAAAAAAAAGAACTAAATTATAATGCTATGACTGAATTCTGTATTCTAGAACAGCCTTTTACCAGGCTAATTCCCTGCTTTTAGCCATATGGAAGAATTACTGCCCGATATTTCTGGATTTCATATTTGTTTCTCCTGTTAGCAAGCTAGCCAAACTAGATTACCTTCAGCCCTGTTCTGAACATCTTTCAAACGAGGAATAAAAACCAGACATAGCTTGTTTATAAGCGCTTGTGTAGTGTCAAGGGTTTTTTTATACTTACCTGAAAATTGAGTTAGAGTATTAAATTACCTGTAATTTAATTCAAAATGCAGTCTTTAGTATATGACTGGAAAGTGTGAGTTCCTGCCTCTCCAGCCTTAAAATTCCAGGAATTTAAAGAACAGAGTGGTGAGAGTTTCTTTTTCTTTTAGAATAATTCTATGTCCATTACAGACTGTTCTGAGCTGTGGATAATGTCTTCATTGGGTAACTTGCAGCATTTTAGATTTGTACAAAAGAGTTCTTTAAAAGTAGCAGCTAATAGTCTTGAAAGATGCCTTCTGTGGAATCTTTAAGTGACTTGAGTATCTATAGATAGGAAACTGGTCATTGAATAGATTCATAGCTTTTGATTGCCTTTTGTACCATTGATGGTTAGTAATTTGAAGCAAGTCTTCTGAACCAGTGATTGATGAAGTTTTTGATGTATAACGAATCTGTTAGCTGCAATTACTGGCAGATGTCAGAAGCACAGTGCTAAACACGCTTGTTCTGCAAGTTTTCTAGCCTTTTGTTTCTGTTGTGTTTGTGTGGGCTTTGCAGCTGCTCCATGTTCTGGTTGCCAAGCAAAATTTAGAGAATATTAAACCCATGTCATACTAAGCCTGGCCACTGTCTGACTGTGGGAATCAGTGTGTAGGGGCCAAAGAGAAAAAAAAAAAGCATAATGATGCTGACATGGGGAGGAGGGTAGGGTGTTGCTTGCATATTAAAAGTGTATTAGTACCTCTTTGCAGAATGCAAACTTCAGTGTGTGAACTTACTTAGTATCATAGGTTTTGTACTTCTCTAAGATTTCTTCAGTGAATCATAATGTAATTTTTGTCATCTGCATACCTTTTTACATTACATACCTGTGTAAATATCCTACAGGTAATAAAATCGTGTGTTCATATGTAATGCAAACCTTGCATCAAACTTGGTTTGACTTAGTAGCAAATATGTTAGGCTAGATTAACTGCGAAATAAGCATAGTTAATGCTTCTTATTAGGGTAAATATTGAAAGCATGTTGTAAGCTAGATACCCAGTCTGGCTTTAATTTTCTTACCATGCAGGAACTACTTCATTTTGTTCTGATCTGTGGTGTGAAAGGTCAAATTCACATCACTACTGAGCCAGGGGCTTCACAGAACCAATTCAAGAGATGGTGAAGTGACAGTCTAACCAGATATAAGAAAAAAAAAAGGGGGGTGGGAGAGTAACTTACTTAGAGCCGGTATTTGCTGTGTTAGTGTTTATCAAGTGTGGGGCTTGGGCTAAGGTTCTTGTCTCACTGTGCTTTATGGCAATGGCTTGTAATACGGGCGGGCTCCAGCGGCAGGGCGGGACGGACGTAGCCGTGGACTTGTACCTGGCCGTCCGGCTGCTCTTCACCGTCCTGGCCCTCACCCTACCCTCCATCTTCGTGAGGCTGCGGGGAGCCGAGGGGGAGCGGCCCCGGGAGCCGGCGGCTGCTGAAGCGGCCCGGGAGAGCGGCCCCGGGGACCAAGCGGCGGCGGGAGCGGAGCCGGAGGCCGCGAGGGGCCGGCTGCCGGTGGAGGAGATCGGGGCGGTCGAGGAGCGGAAGGAGGCGGAGAGAAGGCGGGAGAAGGCGGCGGAGGACCCGGGGCCCGCGGCCGAGCCCAGCCCCGCGGCGGCCGAGAGCATTCCCCGGCAGCCGCCTGCCGAGCCCCAGGAGGACGCAGGAGCCCACGCAGCATTTCCCAGCAAGGCAGAGGAGGAAGAGCTGGACTCAGGAAAAGAGAAGCTGGCGGTGGGAGAGCCGGCAAGCACAGCAGCTACACCAGCCCCGGTGACAAGTACAGCAGCATCGTTTGAGAGTTCTGAAGGTTTTCAATGGCCTTTGGGTACCCCTGGGACCTCGCTGCTGACTGTGATGGGGATCAGCATGTTGGCACACATACAGACTGTATTTTACCCACAATCATTTTTTCTGATCCCGAAATTTAAGCAGAGTAGGGTTTGGGTCTTCTCTGGGGTTAGATGACGATATGGGAGGACCAAGAGGTTTTTCCCAAGGCTGGACAGTCATGAATGGCAGGGCATGTGGGACAGT